ATGGCACCGGGTAACAGTTCACGGCGGCTGCAACGCCACAAGGGTTTGATAACCTAAAAAAGAAATTAAATTTTAAATATTTTTCAAGATTTTGAATTAATTCCCGTAATTGACAACTAACCTCAAATTCAATCATAAATATAACCGCCGATATAATTACCGCACTCAGTGAAGCTTTGGGGATATATTGGAAATATGGTGTCAGCAGACCCAAGGCCAATAACACCAAAGCACTGGTATAAAATCCACCAATTGGTGTCCTAACACCACTGGCATGATTGACGGCACTGCGTGAGAATGATCCCGTCACTGGTATCGATGAAAAGAATGAACCGCAAATGTTACTCAACGATAGGGCAACCAATTCACGTGTTGGTGAGATACCCGCACCACCAAAAGCCTTCGATATCGCCACATTACCCAACACCGCAATAATTGGTAAAATAATCATTGATGGTCCCAATTCTTCAAACATTGCGGAATAATTTTGTTCAACTTCGTAAACTAAAATCTCCAATGCGGATTTTATCTAAATTTGAAAATACTGATTTCATGGTATTCATGAAACCGGAGCCGGAACCACCACGCAAACCCAAGAGACCCTAGAATGGGAGAAATAAAAAGAATTTAATAAAAATTAATTCATATAATGCATTAGGTTCAGACGGACCAGACAGTTTATACCTAAAACCATAGATATGCACATAAGCATCGAAAAAATATATAAAAATAGAAAAATACTATTTTAATAAATTCAAGCCTTCGATAGGCCTAGAAAAATACTATTTTTATAAATCCACGCCTTTGATAGGCCTCGAAAAATATTTTTTTATAAATCTATGCCTCTGATAGGCCTCTGATAGGCCTAAAATATTTTTTATATAGACCGCAAAAAATACTTTTAAAAATTGTTAGTCAATACATTGGCAACCATATTTGTTGTAGGACAATATTTTAATTTTATTTCATTGTTCTGGACTAAGTCACGGATGTGGTGAAACCTTAAGTCTATATGTTTCGATCGTTTGTGATAAACAGGGGTTTCCGCCAACTTTAATGCTCTTTGATTGTCGATGTGCAAAACTACGTATTCTCAATTCCAAAAGCCTATTTGCTTTAAAAACCGTTGCAAATATATAACGCCTCCTTTGCTGCTTCTGAAGATGCTACGTATTCAGCTTCCGTAGTCATTTTCACCATCCGATGTTTGTCTTCAATGTAAATTATTGTCTGCGAATTTGGATTTCTTCCCAGACTTATCTAAGGCCACAGCACACGCTCCAAAATTCCTGAAATGTTTAACGCGAGGCTTTCTTCCACACCATTCTTCATACGGCGTTTTGTTTTCCAGCTGCTTAGTAGGACACCTATTTCTAATATAAACGGCGGTGTTTATTGCCTCTGCCCATAAAGCTGGTTTCACATTCGCATACACCATCATGGATCTGGCCATTTCCACAAGGGTACGGTGGGCCCTCTCGGTTACCCCCCGGTGTATGAGAAACCGTCAACTGCCGTGTGATGCCTTCTTTCTTCTTTCTATATAATATATTCACACCCACTGTCCGATCGTAGCGATTTTATCTTGCAGCCTTTCTGCTTCTAAACTGGGTCTTTGAACACCTTAAACTTTTCAAATACTTCAGATTTCGACCGCATAAAATAAATAAATATCTTTCTGGACTTATCGTCGATAAATGTTACGAAGTATTTGGATCGTCCAACTGAGGGTGTTCTAAAAGGACCGCACACATCTGTGTGCACAAGTTCCAATAAATCCTTGGAAATCGTCTAAGACTGGTTAGGGAATGGTAATACATGAACTTTACATACCATACAAGTGTCAAATTTGTCAGGACTTTGTTCGTTCCGCTTGCAACACAATGCTCTCTTCTCATCTCTTCACTGATGCTCTCTTCTCATCAAAATTAACGGTTATCCTCTGTCAACAGCCTTGTTAACCGATATAAAATTAGCTTGCAACTCCGGCGAGTACAAAACGCTTTTCTTCTCGCACTTATTCGAATAATGTCCCGTTAGACAACAGTTGTAGAGTTTGCAGTTCTAGTTTGCCGTTCTAGAGTTTGCAGGTTTTGCGACGAATGCTTTCTGATTTGTTATTTCTTCCTTTTTTTTCTTGTCTTCTCTTTCCCTCCTCTAACAGCTTTTGTCTTAAGGATCATAAACTAGGAAGATCATCGCGCGTTTCCATCGCGATCACAAAATTATCAAATTCATCGGGAAGGCTTAATATCTGTACCGGTTTCATGCAATTCCTCGTATACTTACGAGAACTCGTTCAAATGTTGCACCACATTACCATTTGACGCCATCTTAAAATTTAACAACTTCTTATACGCTTTTTGAATCGGACCCATTGACATGTAGACCTCCTCCAGCTTTTTCCAGGCTTCATGTGAAGTTTTCGGCTTCCCATTTGGATTGTGCCGCTTCATCACCCACCTTTTTGGTTGTTCCATTCACGATCTTCCAAAAGTCAGCATGGACCAGGACACTCCGCATCTGGACTGACCACAGTTCATAATTGCTCTCGTCCAACTTATCTATTTGAAGAACTGGGGCACTCATTATTCTCTCCTTTTCACTTACTGAAAATTCTAGATGTAATTCTCAGCATTTAACACAAATGCGATGGAACTTACTGAATAATCCTAAATGCTTTTTTAAATTCGTAAATTCTAAGAGAAGAACACAACAGTTTCCTAGCTGTATGAAACATGGAAGTAAAAAATCATCAGACAACACACAAATTGCAAATCTATTTGCGGACTTTTTTCAATCTTCATATATTCAAAATGCATTTAGTGGTCAATATAATTTTCAAATTGATCAATTAAATCATTTTCCTTGTTTCTGCTTAACTGAAGGTGATGTTTATTCTGGGCTAAAGACATTACGTTCCTCATTTTCCCCCGCTCCTAACGGAGTTCCAACCTATATTTTTTGAAGTCTTGTGCTAATGAATTATTTTTACCCCTTACGAAAATATTTAATTATTCCTTTTATTTTCCGCACTTCTGGAGTTCGAGCTATGTTATCCCCCTTCATAAATCTGGCAATAGATGTCTTATAGATAATTATAGATGCATTGCGAAGTTAAGTGCCATACCTAAACTTTTTGAACTATTAGTTCCACGAAGAATATCACATGAAAGGCAGATCTACTACTTCCAATCTTTTTGAATTTGTATGTCATGTTCATAATGGCTTTGCAAATAAACAACAAACTGATGTTATTTATATAGACTTCAGTAAAGCTTTCGATACTGTAGTTCATAAGCTATTGCTCCATAAACTTAATGTTACAGTAGATATATGCGTTTTTTTCTTATATGGAATTATCGGATATAAGAAAGTATAAGCTCGGTGTTTTTGACAATCTTTCCTATATGCGATTTTTTCTTATATGAGATGTGCTTATAACCAATATCTACTGTATAGGCTTCCCGTAAATTATTTTAAGCTGGATTTCATCCTATTTAGATGATCGTACCCAAAATATTTTGTTCAGTGATTCCTTTTTTAAAGATATTATTGTTTCCTCTGGAGTTCCGCAAGGAAGTCATTTGGGTCTGTTATTGTTTGTTCTTTATCTAAAGGATCTTCCGAATTCCATTCGTTATTCCGAAATAGTAATGTATGCAGATGATGTCAAGCTGTTTTCGCATACAAATACACGTAATTCAGTTTATTTACATTACGATTTACACTCACTTTATAACTGGTGCAGTGCAAATGGAATGTCTCTTAAGGGAAAAACCCATTTTCGGTTTTAATTTTTCAAGAATTTCAATGGGCTGGTAAATGTATTCAAATGCTTGTTAAAGTTTGTAACTTTGCACATATATATTTGAAGATTTAAAAGAGAAGAAAAATAATTTACAAAAAATTTTTGTTATTGTTTTGTTGTTGTTTTTTGTAATTAAAGAAAAGTCCTTATTTTTGATGGCGGGCATGATAACTCCTCACTGGAACATCGGAATCCGAAAATTCCAACGGTGTTAGAAAGAGTACATGTCTGGCTCTCGTATGAACTAGGATTATTGACTTCGCTCTAAAATAACCAAAATGGTGGACCTTTGAAAAAATATTTTTGGAAAATCGCCGATTTTTTACCAAAAACCAAGTTAAAAAATAAGGAAGATCTTCACCGATTGGCTTTATCCTAGTTCATACGAGAGCTATACACTCCCAGAGAAACGTTGCAAAATTTGGAACCGATTGCACTATTAGTTTTTGAGTTATCGTGCCCGCCATTCACAAAAAAATGTTTAGAGAAAAACGCGTTTAAAGTTTGAGAAGCCCTTCAGCCGTCACTTGATGCTGACACAATAAATCGGCTATATCTTCAAGAGTTCTTGAGATTTTCACTTGAAATTTTGTAGAGACATTCTTTAAACAGTGTAGATTCGAATTATATCAACAAAAATTTTGACCCCGAGAATGGGGGGGGGGTCCCCTTAATTAAAAAAAATGCATGAAATTTTCCTTATTCAGATCACATCCAATACAATCCGACTACTTTATAGGGTCATACAAACTGGACAATGTTGATTCTTTCTCTGATCTTGGCGCCAAGTCTTTATTAAGTTTCTTTAAACGCTAATCTTGAGAGTTTGATCGCCCTCATGTTAATAAAGGATTATTTGTTAGTATTGTCCGCCCAATCCTAGAATATTGTTGCATTCTTTGTAGACCTCGGATTTTTGCATATTTTTTTATGCTTTATCCGATTGGACTCAAATTTTGTATTTAGGCGTTTCATGCTCTAATTGATCGATATTTGGGGTCTTGTTAAAAATATGCAAAATATATGCAAAAAGTATGCAAAATATGCAAAGTATGCTAGGTCGATATGCATTAAATATGCAAAATATTTGCATAAAATATGCAAAATATATGCAATATATGCATATTTTGCAAAAAATGCAATATATGCAAATATGCAAAAAATTAAAAAAATATGAACCCTTCAAATAATTCTAAATCCTTTGAAACGAATTTGTGTCCAATCAGAATTTCGATATCTTCATTATTAAAAAATATGCAAATATGCAAAATCCGAGGTCTAATTCTTTGGAGTCCATTTTATAAATGTCACTGTGATAAAATTGAGTCAGTTCAAGTTCAGTTTTTAATTTTTGCCTTGCGTGGCCTAAATTGGAACCCATTTGAACCCAACTTATAAAATTCGCTTATTGTTAATTAGTCTTCCAACACTTGAAAGAAGACGTTTTATGTTAAGATCATTATTTATTATTAAATTAATACGTGGCCTGATTGATTCACCCTTTCTTACGGGAGAAATAACTTTTAATGTTCGGAATTTTGAGCCGTTGAAATTGTCAATCGCGAGAACTAATTATACTAAACAACCCAATAAAGTCTTTTTTTAATAGATAATAGCATAAGTAATGTTATATGCCTAAAGAGTCCATTGCATGCCATAAAGAATTCTATACTGGACTTGGAAACAGTAGAGCCTAGCATTTCAGCAGCAGTTGTCAAATTTTATATTATAGCTTTTGTTTAATGTTGGTGGGTTAATTAAGTTAGTTTATGCTATTTATCGATCTAATTTATATTTGTTGTATAATTATTAATTACCGGCTGATGATCTTTCTGTAGCCGGTATTGTTAAACAATTACTAACCCGCCTTAGTCCGGTCTTTGGTGTGTACGTGCTCCCTGCGTATAGGGAGGTAGCCCCCTCAGTCGGCAGGAGCGGGTGAGGGAGGCGTGTGGACGAATGAAAAAAATCAAAGGTTTTATTATTTGTGCACAACGAACAAAAGAAAAAGAAAGAAGTTACAACAGCATTCATGTTGCACAAAAGAGAGTTGCCATCTATTTCCATCAAATCCCCACCTCTGATAGGCCTAGAAAAAAAATTTCTTTTAAAAATCCACGCCTATGATAGGACCAGGCCTTAAAAATATAAATGTCTCTAATAGGTCCAGAAAATATTATAAACAATCCACAATCCCAAACAATAGGCCTAGAAGAAAATCTTTTAAAAAATCGATGCCTCAGATAGTTCTAGAAAAATGTGGTTTAATTCAAATTCTTATTTTAACTTACCTTAATTTGTGATGTTCCAATAATAACAGCTGTGGCCGATGTAAAACCAACCGTAACGGGTAAAGAAATTAAATCAACCAAAGCGCCTAAAAGTATGCCAAAGAATTTGTGTTATTAGTAACATTGTTATGGGAGGTACATGGAGGGAAATTAAATAATTCATATTTTAAAAATGCGTCATTAAAAAATAAATAAATAAACATATTGATCAAATATAATTAATAGGTTATTTAATTATTATTTTCAAAAGTCCAATCAAAAATTGGGCCACTCCAATTTATGTTGACACATGTGTCACATTATTCGAACCAGATGTTATTTATTAACTATTTCAAATATCTATCTAATATGAAATGTGTTTATCTAGGTTATGTTTGTTTTCCCTAGTTTTTTTCTTCTTGAGAATAATATTTGAAATTCCAAATAAATAAAATACCATTGCCTAAATTCCAATATTTGCATATAATAAGGAACAAAAATAAATAAATGTTTTTTAAACTTTGGACTACAATCAGACGTCACATGATATTCACGTTTCGATACAATTTTGCGATTGATAGCTAATTAAGATTATTGTTATTACTGTTGCAATTATAAAATACTTATTTATGTGTGTTTAGATATTTATTTGTCATTTTATAATTTAATTAGATTTTAATGAGACATTTAATTAAACAATTTGTTTTAATGGGTGCATAAAGCGAAATAATTAATAGAAAACAAGTTCGAGCCGACCATATGGATATGGATTCTCATATTATTTTTTAAAACAATACATTTTTAAAATATTGGAAATTTATGAAAAATATTTTTTTAATCCGCGCTACATAACAAAAATAATTTTTACTTGCAAATTTATTAATCAATAATCCACCTCTTTCCAATCCAAATTCCCAATATCTATTCTCCAATATTTCCCTTACTTACCCAATCTCAAGACCGCCATTAACAATTCCACCACGCCCGATATCAAGCACAACAATATGGCATAAGCCGGTCCAGAATTTAAACCAAAGCCAGTATGACGGCTGGTCATCAAGGCCAGCAAAGCGGTGGGACCGATTGTCACCTGACGGCAGCTACCAATAAATGCATAAATTATGCCACCCACAAAGGCGGAATATAGACCATACTGAAAAAAATAACAATGATTATTTAATTTTCTATCTCCCATACAAACTTTTTAAAACTACTCACCTGCGGTTCCAATCCCGCCAATGTGGCATAGGCCAAACCCTGTGGCAGTACTGTAAGTCCAACGGTTATACCGGCAATTAAATCAGACAATGCATCTTGCCCCGTATAGCCCTTCAGCCATTTAAGGCCGGGCAATAAACGATAGGCCAGCTCTTTGGTGGATTTCATTGTTGTGTAGCTGAAAAGAAAAAAATCAGAAAAAACAATTACAACAACAACAATATAAACAATTTTATTCAATTAATGCCAGCACATAGTTAGATCGTTTTCAGTTTTATGGAATAGCGAACAATCAAGGCAACAACAATAACTAAAGATTTAAAAAAAAATTGTCCATCATTTATATGGTGTTGCATTATTGTCAATTTTCTGAAAAGGCCGGGCCATAATGATGATGTTCGGAATTCATTGAACGCATGACGGATGACTTCGAAATAATTTCGTTAATAACAAATATATGGGGGAAACTGGGTCTGGAGGTACCAAATTACATCGTTAATTTTTTTTATTTTGTCACCGGGTGGAGAAGCGGTTTAAAAGGCCTTAGCCTTGTCTAAGTATGTTTATGGATGACGAAGGAGTTCTGAAACACTTTCGATTTTATAAACAATTTTCAAGGCACATATAGGTGACCTGGTAATAGGCTCCAACAGATGTGGGTGCATTGGCATCTGTAGTCAAAGGTACAGCTACAAGCACTCAGCCATCGGTCAGAGTTGAGGAACCACAGGGGAAGAGCAATCTCGACCCAGCCTTCAGAGACATAAGGGGACTCAACATTGAATTTTGAGTCTGAACCTGATAATCAGACAAATATAACCGTCTTGGAGAGCCGGAAGAGAGAAGAGGCCGACGAGATGATAGAGTAGGTATGTAAGGATATCGCCAAACTCACAAGCAGGAAGAAGCAATTGTCTGGGGCACAAAGGCGGAAGTTGGCCAGAATGAACCGGATGAACAAAAAGTGCAAGATACAGACAGTGGCTAAAAGGATAAGCATGACATTTCCTCCACTTCTGCGGAAGCGGCGAAGAGAATACGGTCTCCGGATGAGCAGACGACTGTCAATACGCCAAAATGAAAAAGAGCCTCCCACCTACCGATAGTAAGAGAAAGTTGAGTCAAACCAACGTCAAAGGAGACTGCCACAAGAATCCACTGACGAAGTTAGACAAAGCTGGCTCTGATATCAGGAAGACGAGTGCTGAGTCGAAATCTTCCGCAAAGACCGGGAATCCCAAAAGCACCAGCCGTTATTTGCGAAAGAGGAAGGTTGCCAGGAAACGCTACATAGACGAGCTTTGCTATGCAGTGATCGACAGAAATAGCGCGTCCGGTAAACTGAATAAGGCGACTTACATGGAGGTGTTGAATGTGGTCAACAACAAGATCATGGAGCACCTACGACAAATGGGGGACTCCATTGACCTGGATAGCTACGCATTCAAAGGGGACTATCTAATGCTGGAATTTGAAACACTAAAAAACATAGGAACAATCAAACTCAGCGGGTGAGGGAAAAAGATATTCCTCAATTACAAAAGGTCTCCGTCAGAGGTTAGGGCAGCGATTTCGACACGGAACGCATACTCGAGGTCTTCAGCCTACAGAACAAGACACTGCATGTGAAGAAATGGAAAGTCTTCCTCAGAGAGGAGAACGAGGAGGGATTGTGTTAGGATTGCACAGGTCTTCAATGGCAAGTCTGGCAAAGAGGCAAGGCGCATTACGTGTCCAACGCCGTATACTTCAAAATCGGAAAGGCAAGGATTGAAGGCGGTGAAACCACAGGTAACAGCAATGGGAAAACACCCAGCAACAAAGAGGAGAGACCCGAGAAGACTCCCAAGAAAACCGGTTACTGGAGGACAACTGATAAAAGTCGTCCAGATTAACCTCCATCGGAGCGAGACGGCAAATAATGGTAAAATACACATCGGACTGATTCAGGATCCTTGGTCAATTAAAAACAATGTCTCTGCACATGAGGTAGTACTCAATATTGAGGGCACTTTCGCTAAGAAAATGTATACCTTAGCGGTATGTATTCACATTGAAGGAGCTTTCAAGAATGTGAGCACTAATACGCTTATCCAATCCGTAGATACTTTCCAAGTCGACCGGGCAATCATAGACTGGGTTATCTATATGCTAAGGAATAGATGGATTAGCTGTAGCATACAGGACATAACAATCAGAGACAAAGTAGGTCAGGGAACACCACAGGGAGGGATTTTGTCACCGCTACTGTGGATAACTACCATAAATGAACTCTTAAGGAACTTAACCGATGTAGGATTTGAACCAGTCTCTTATGCATATGACGTTATAATACTTCATAGGGAAAGGTATCCTAACTTATCATAGGTAACGAAATAGCAAACCAAATATATAGGAGTGCCACTGCACTACTCACAATAGATGTGAATACCGTCAAACACTTTAGCACAACACGCCAATAAATGAGGGAATGGGCGAATCAGACCCACAAAACACTTTGCGAAAATGAGGTTATAGAAAAGATCACCAAAATCTTATGGAGTGACCCAAATGAAGCAAAAAACTTAGCAAATCCTAACGCTAAACAAAAATGAAATAAGCCGAAACATTTCCTGTGCCATTGCCGAGCATTTACATGCCTTCGGAAACAATTCTTGGGACATGACACTTTTCACGGACTAACCGATCTGAGGGGGTGTGAATGGAAAAGGCTGAAGGAATGCTCCAAAAACACGGAATTACTAAAATCATAGGGGGATCGAACCCAAAATGTTAAATCTAAACTTTACCTAATTCTATCTTTCTCTGCATTTCTAGAGCGCACAATAGGCCTCAATTGGCTTATGTGTATGTCCTTCCCATGTTGGACATGTGGTGGTATTATCCACCTCTCTTTTCAACCTAACCTAATAGGCTGTGCTGCCAATGCCCACAATTTTCACTTCGGAAGCAGTGACCCAAATCCACTATTTTATACTTAGATATAATCATAGGATATGTAATAGGGGCAACACGGCGATATTTGTACATAGAGTGAGAGGCAGAGTCATGGACATCACCGTCACAAACATAGACGACTCTGGGGTTAATAACAGGGAAGTATTTGAAAAATGGTCCTTTTTTGTACGTTCAGATTTTGCAGAGTAATATTTAAAGATCCGAAATCGATAGATAGTATTAAACGAACAAATCGAATGTGGACAAACTTCGGAAGAGAGACTCTTGATCTTTTTATCATCGAATCGACTTCATTGGTTGTATGTACCGTCTTTCAGGCAGAAATCCTAGCAATCGCGAAATCGGCTGAAATAGTAAAAACACTTATTGCTGACCATGTAAGAGCGGTGACTATGTATGTGGATAGTCAGGCGGCCTTAAAGTCACTTATGTCTTTTACTATTCAAATGTGGTTCTTCACTGTAAATAAAAATCACGAGACTATATTTTTTTGTTGGTTTCCAGGACATATTGACATAGATGAGAATGAAATAGTTGACGAACTTGAACGTGATGGTTCGCAGTCGTCCAGTCTACCGAACAAGGGATCTATTGGCTAATTCATTGGCGAAATCCGAAAAAGGTACGACGAGAAACCCGCCAAGTCGGTTAGGTCTTTATAATGACAAAATAGCCTTCTCATGGAAAAGTAAATGATATTTTTGGTCGTTTTTATATATTTTGTCGGAGGTTTCAAAATTCTAGTTTTTTAAACTCCACCCCAATATATTATATTACGAAATATTCTGACAAAAGATACAAAGTTAAATATTGATAATTGAAAAGCAAATAACTATAAAATTGTCTGCCTCACTATAGTGGGTCATTAATTTAAATTACAATTTCCCCATAATATTATGCAGGTATTATTTTTCAAAAATAACAATCAATGAATTGCAAAATCAGGTGGCATTTTTTTCTAATAGCTTGCAAGCTGATATAACAATTTAATTTGAGAAGATAGATAAGGGTAGAAGTGGATCTAGAAAACAAACAAAAAATATACATATTAATATATTTATGGGTCGGGGAGAGAATTTTGCATTGAGGGAAGAGAACAGGCATTTGAAATTAAAAATATAAACCTTTAAATATGAATTGAGAAAATGGCTAAATAAATGGAAATTTTGAAATGGAAAGAAAAGAAATATATATTTGCAATTCTTCTTGCCAAAAAAGAAATATTGTATCAAGTCTAATATTTATTTGCGTATTTTCTATGGACAAACAAAATATTAACACATTAAAAAATGTTGAATTCTTTTAATTCAAAAGAAATTGAGTAAATTTAATTTCCTAATTAACACATTTAAAAATGAAAATGTTTTCAAAGAGAATGGCCAATTGTAATGAAGTGAGCAAGAAATTAGAAAATACACGTTAGAAATCAGTAGCAGTGCATTAAATATAACATTTTAAAAATATTTAATTTTCTCCAAATAAAATGTGGGAATTTTTGAAACACTTTCGATTTTACATTTCCGAATGAGATTATTTTAATTCCATCTTTCAGATAAGCGGATTTTTCTGTTCAAAAAATATGGGGGGTTGTAGTCGTGCCGAATTAAACAAGAGAAGTCCATATTTTTCAAAAGACTTTTGGGAACTTTGAAACACTACCGATTATATTTGTGAAACATACTTTTCCGCATGAGAACATGGAAATTCTATCGTGTAGAACCTTCCAACTTGTATAAGCAGACTTTTTTTCAAGAGCCAGTGAGTTTTGTCCAGAGATTGTTTGTCGCGCCAAATTAAAAACATATGACCTATAGGAGAAGTGGGATCTTTGAAACACTTTCGATTTTATTTGTGATTTTTTTTAGGTTAAAATACAACAATCCTAATATAAATATAATAACATAAACATTTTCAAAATAGTTCCTAATCCCCAATATGGAGATGTGGGATATTTGAAAAAAATGAATATATCCGTTAGCAATTCTTAGAGTACAATTTTGGACCGTTTGAGGGTTACACTATTGGCTTCCACTTAGGAACTAAGTATAAATTGGGTAGCATATGGTGAGCCCCACTCGGCATTCCGACAGCATAACTTTGCAGGTTACTCCGTTATGTGCCACTTAGGTACGACTTCCAAACAAAAAACGGCTTAACTCCGTAAAGAATTACTGATTGCTTTGTACATGGCAATGAGCGCCTTCCTTTGCCAGAAGGTAC